ACTAATTAAAAACAAAACATTTGTATACATGTACATGGTGTATCTGTGTTTGCTTTAGAGGCATAAACTAGATACCATAAAACCCTGATACATATACCTCACAAGCACATTAGGAGAACTATTTTGAGGGCAGTGCAAGGGTATTCTCCTTATGTGATTTTACTTTCTGTGAAACGTGAATTTAGGAAATTATTCTTTGTGATCCGTGACCTGAAGGTTTTCCATGACCCGTGAAGAACTTGAATTATTAACCGATGTTTGCGATTTCACCACTCTATTCTACATTATTTTGAGACACAAGTCCTTCGAATGCCGGGTTAGAGTTGCCTGTCGAGAGTGACTTAGGTATGTGATTTGCAACAGGGAGCCTTGACTTAGCTTTTCATGATTGTGCTTTCTTCAAACACTCTTTCTAGTGTAAGAGCAGATTATTAAAAAGAGTATCTTACTTGCTTGTTTTTGTGATTCAGGAAAACGGAATTTTCATATCCATGATTGAATACTGATCCTCAATTTTTCCTGTTCGTGAACCGTGCCAGAGACGCCCCTGTATGACCTTCTATTTTCAACAATACCACATGTATATAATAGACCAATTTCGATAAATTGAAATTCAGCCTAAAACAGTAGACCTCAGCATGAGGCTCTGGAGAATAACTACAGAGTTTGTGGGGTTTATTCCCCAGAGCCTCATGCTGAGGTCTATTGTGCTAGGCTGAATTTTAATATGTCGATATTGGTATATTAGAGATACCGTTGTTGAAAGGGTTTTTTTCACTGAAAATGTCTTCCTTTTTGGGACTACCTGCTTTTCCTTATTTCCTAGGAAGGGCTCTCAAGTGCACATCTTCTTACTGGCCCAACATTGGTCATTTGCCACCAACTTCTTGAACTGACGTAGGTGATAGCAGACGGTTGGCTCGAATGGAGAGGGAGGGGAAGGTGAGGGTAAAATGTGCAAAGAGAGGGGTGGGTAGCCAAATGATGAAAAGCTTAGTATAGTGAAACACCTTTCTTTGCAACATGACCATAGGCAAAAAGCCCTGACCAAGGAAATATAAATTATATCTATTATATGGTCTAATAGACAATGGGCCTTTCCAGAGTGGTGTGAAATTAAGATGTAAAATATAAATGACGGACACAAA